AGTGATGGCTTGAAATGAAAGGAGTCAATCACAGCTTGATAACTATGGCGTGCTGAGGTGAGTAAGGTATCAGTACACATATGTCTATCAGCGCTTAAAGTGTTGAGAATTTTACCTGGATAGTTTATGATCTAGGTAGTAGCCATTAGAGCGCCAAGCACGACGCAGATAACTAAGGCGTGTTGAGGTGAGAAGGGTATAAGTACACATAAGTCTGTCAACTCTTTAACTTATTGAGGGTCTATGCTGGATAGTTCGTGATCTAGATATCCAATAGAGGGCCAAGCACGACGCAGATAACGAAGCCTTGCTCGGGTGAGAAGAGTATAAGTAGACACAAATCTATCAGCTCTAAACATATTGAAAATCTGACACGCAGTTAACTAAGGCGTACTGTGCCCAACACCGCTTAAAGTGATGAGATTATGTTGTCAGGTTACGATCTAGATAGCTTGTTCATGGGCCAAGTACGAAGCAGCCAAGCATATTGTGCTGAGAAGAGCAAAGGTACATATACTTTTATGAGCCCTAGTTGTATCATCGATAGATCAATATCAAATAGCTAAATAAAGGGCCAAGCATGGAACAAACAAGTAGTCTGAAAGCAGTACTTTATATACATATCTTGAGTCTGGGATCTGATTCAGGATGTACGCTTAGTATATAAACATTTCCTATGTAGTCTAGGATCTCATAGTAGCGTCTACAGATTGATTTTATGTAGGTTTTGTACTCAGAATCGACCTCAAGTCATACATGGAGGAGAGATCAGTTTTGCCACACACAAAAATATTCAACTCAGTGACCGGCCAACTTTTCCATAAGAGATAGTGAAGCAACGACTTCAGTATGAAGATTAATATGAAGCACTATATATATATATATATAATAACTCTGTATTCATATATAAATATTTACATAGATTCATATAAAAATCGTATTTAGTGTATGTACAGTGACGTGTGTATTCAAGCTTTTAAGTATAGAAATCCATTTCTTTTACGCAAACATAAACACACACACAACACACACACACACATATATATATATATATATATATATATTATATATATATATAGTGTATGTGTGTGTTTTATGCAAGCTGTAGAAGATAGAACGTGCCAGATTAATCTGTGGAGGACACGATAGTACAATCATATTGCTGAAGGTTTTACACAAACTGATATTATCAGCAATTCAAAGTGACTTTTTGGTATCTACTACGAATACACCCGGAGTTCAGAAAGCTGTATCGGTCATGGTTGCTTGTGTGGCGGCCATCAAACGAGTTATCATGCTAGTATATTACCGACGCATCTATTGTCGAATGCCCTGGATATACGTTTGCTTGTTAAATGCAAGGTGTTCATTTCACAAATTGGTAGTCGCATAAATTTCTCGCATGCATGTTCTGAACTGTAGACATGATTATTTTTTTATGCCCGATGCCATACAAGACTCGTACAATGACCCTGAGCGCTGAGGTGCTTAGTAAAAGATCCTCCAAGGAGTCCTCTAGACTCTCTCTCTCTCTGAGAGCCTACTAGTAGTAGTAGTGAGAGAGACTGAGAGAGAGTCTCTACTCTCTCTCCCGCTCTCTCTTCTTTCTCTCTTTCTCTCTCTCTCTCTAGAGTATACCACTAACCACACTTCAGGTCTCAAGGTTCAGTGTTTAAAAAAAAATACCAATCGTTTCCTGGAATCTGGATTGGCACAGAATTAAAATTTGCAGTACAACTGAACGCATACGAGACAACGATCGTATTGTGCTGCGATGCCGAATTGCCGATCCAACTTTCAGTCGACAGACTATTCAGATCACACTATATACGTACATCCAGATAGTAAATACTTATAGCACGTGCGAATTAAATTTATATAAAGATGGATCTTTATCACGGATCGTATAAGTGAAATATTGCACGGTTGGAACTGGACCACCCACCACTTGTGCATCTTAATAGATTAGCATACACAAGAGCAATCTGACTAGGCTTTGTTTCGCATTTGTTCCAAGACGAGTGTGCAAATTGCCGGTACAAACTATCAAGCAATCCACAAATATATCAGACAGCCAAAGGAACATGCCCCGTGGCCATTAAATCTATCCAAGCAAGTGTTGTTCAGATCATCACGCGCATGAGTAAGTATATGTATATAAATTAATATATTAGTACCTACTTATATATACTGTAGCTACATGAATTCTATTACGGTGCTTTTGAGAATTTAAGCACGTATGTAGTGAAAACGATGCAGTTACAAATTCGTATGAAACATATCAGTGCACCTCGCTCGTACCCGGGACTATCTAGTTCTTCCTCCAAGAGGTACGAAGCGTCACAAACGTTCGAATACTACACAATAGGGTTTCAAATACTATTTGCATGAGGAGGCGCATGTTTGAAAGTACCAACTCTGGTACTACATTGGGATATAGTGTGATTATTTTTAATTATACTGGAGTCCAGATAGATGAATAAATAAATATTCTCAGGCGCAGCGGTCTGTTTGCGCCACCCAATCGTTGAGCTGATTCTCTTTGGTAGAGCTATATAAATGAAATACGACCCGAGTTTATGAACACAATGGACAACAGTCATTTGGGGACATCTGATCTGCAAAAAAAAGCAAAGCATCACACACTCTGCCCCGCGGTTGTATCAAACAGTCGACCAAATGTGACCTGAATTTACGATATTGGCCGCCATAAATTTGCGACATTAGGGTCGCAAACAGTGATACGGCTGTGATAGCTTGCTTCATACGAAGTGTACAACACTCGTCAAGCGTCATGTGTAGTGGGGATGTACCAGTATGCCACGTACACGGCGTCTACATGGCGTCTGTAGCACAGATGCTTAGTACAACCCTAGCTTCCATGCTATGACAGTCCTGTCTGACAGCACCCTATACGGACTATGAGATATTCGTACCGCGGTGGGCAGAGGTCTGTGTTTATTTCTCGCGCGCATGTATCGAGTATTATTCACTTGTGCCGTGATTGTGCTAGCCCGTGGCACTCTCGAGTAAGCTACACATGGAACCGTAGCACTACGGTGCAAGCGTGCGCACACACTTTGCGGGAATCTGTCTCTGTTGGTGTGATACTGGCCCCTACCACTTCATCGCTTTCAATTGTAATGTGATACTGCTTTGAGCACAAAAGCCAGTCAACTAATGATATGAATGCCGCACTGTGGTACAAACGTACACACACGTTTGAATATGAATTTTAGGGTGGTATAAGCTTTACCACTGTCCGCTTGGTATTGGTATGTATGTAGCGCTGCAGTACAAACGTACACTCACGCATTAATGAAACGTTTCTTCCAAAAAGTGGTATATAAGCCTTATTATGCTCCCGCTCTGTGTGGGGCATACCTATTGTAGTGCGATACTACCCTTGACCACAGACTGCCAACAGTAGGTATAGATGCCGCACTGCGGTACAAATGTACACATACGCCTTCATAAAACTTGCCATGATGTATGAGCCTTTACCACTGTCCGCTTGGTGCTTGTTTGAATGTAGCGCTGCAGTATCAACAGACATACGCGCCGAGTTGGATCTTTCTTGTCTAGTGGTACACAAGCGTACACCCATGCTTTTCTTGGAAACGGTTGTTCCAAAAGGTATGAATGTAGCACTACAGCGCAAGTGTACGCCCATACTCTGTTGGAACACCATACCTCTCAAGTGGCTGTATGTATGAATGTAACACTGTAGCGCAAGCGTACACACACACTTTGCTAATACCTTTCCCATATAATGTAATACTGGCCTTCACCACTTTCAGCCAGCTGAGTGTATAAATACAGCACACTGCCGTGGTGGTGTAAAGAAGCGCCTGTCTCTGCAGCCCCTACAAACAGGATAGTGAGAGCCTTTGTCCGTTTGTTTCATGCGCTTATGTGCACAGGGTAGTATACCTACCTCTACAACCACCACTCATACTACCAAGTGCGTACACACAGTGTACTATTATTAGTAGGACTATCGGGAGACGTCGCTACTGAGGCTTGGTATCCAGCTTCGTGGGAGTGTTTCCTTCTGTCCCGCTTTCGCCTGACTCCGAGAGGTGTTTGAGCTTTCTCCGTTTCGCTATGGCCGAGTCTTTAACGCCGGACATCTGGCGTATGCCAAAAATAGAACAGCACGCATATCAGCAGCGTGACAAAAATAGAACACTATATAGCGTGACAAAAATAGAACACTATATAGCGTGACAAAAATAGAACACTATATTTTTCACAGGGTTTGCCAAAGATAGTACTAGTAAACTATTGGGAGCGTGGCAAACATAAAACAACATATATATCACCAGTCGGGAGAGTCACACTCACCCCCAAACCGTGAATCTGGCTCAGCGAGTCATTCTGACCCAATATCATCATCACAGCATCCAAATATAGCATTCACATATATTAATAGAAGTTACCTGCAGTTTGGGAATGATCTTTCGGTACGCCTCTATATTGTCGGTCACAGATGCTGCGTCCAAGAAGTTTGAGCTGGGTAGAGCCATGAGTTTGCGTTTGTTGGAGCGTGCGCGTATCTCGTTGAACCAGGGATGGGCGAGAGCTTCCTTTGCACTTATCCGCCTGGAAGGAACCACGTCTAGAAACCGTTGGATCAAGTCCTGAGGGGTGGAATAGTGGGGAGCAACGAATAGTGAATTCGTTTAGAATCAGCTTGTATGCATTGAGAGCTGGTGTATCCCGTTAAACTAATGGTGTGTGTTTGCGGCCCTTGTACTCATACGTCTGGAAGAAAAATACGTCGAGGGACCGTTGGATTAAATCCTGAGGTGTTTATTAGTAGAGTGTGACGAATAGTGCGGTCGTAGTGAGGTAGTTCTGGATAGTTTTTGTTTCTGCCCCTCGATAGAAACACTGCATACTTGCTTAGTAAGCATATAAGCGTACACCTTATATTATATATATATATATATATATATATATATATATATATACTACAACAAACAACAACTACTACA